ATTGTTTTCCTAGTTCTAGGCAAAATAATGGCTATCAAATATAGCCTAAGTTTTTTTTCAAATAAAAATAATAGATTTATCATATTTTTAAAGAGAGTGTTAGTTGTTTCTAATAAATTGGTAAAAAAATAATAATATTTACTAAGTAAAGACATAAATAAATAAAAACAATAAATAAATAAAAAATAAATGGGGCAAAAGACTTACCTGTCCCGTCCCGTTTTAAAGAGGTATGGGGATGGGAAAAGGTAAAAACAACATTGGAACGGGAGTGGGAATGGTCAACCCGTCCCATACTCGCCCCATTGTCATCTCTAACGTCACCCCAACCACCACCAACGACGCCTGCACCACACCACCGTCGTCGTTGCTGCGACCGCCACCATCGCCACCTACACCACAAAAACAATCGTCGCTACCGCCACCACGAACATCACCCTAACCATCACCACTATCGCCACCGCCTGCACCACACCACTACCACACAACCGCCACCAACCACAAAAACTGCCACCACAAAAATCGCCACCACACATCCGCCAAATCCACCACCACAAATACCTTCAAAATCACCGCAGAACCACCAGCGCCCCCGCCACAGCCACAACCTGCAAATTGCACACCACCATCACATCCAACCAATGCACACCACACACCCAATCACCGCACCCAAACCAATCACTGAATAAAAAAAAGAACAGACGAAGAAGCACAGAGAACATCAGCGTCGCAGGGAGATCGTCGAAAGCGCAGGTTGCCGAGAGCGCTAGGTGCGCCAGCGATTGCAGGGAGCGTCAGAGAGAGAAGACAGTGATGAAATGAAGAGAGAGACGAGAGAGAACACGTTTTCATTTTTTTTATTTTCAAAAATAATTTTTTAAAATGACAAAAAAAAATATATATATATATTTTCAACAATCTCAAAATAGACACTCAAAATACAAAATTTAAAATGAATTCAAAACTAAAAACTAAAAATTGAAAGACCGTACCAAGAGTTGCCAATGCGGTGCTTGATAAATTAAAAATTTGTCGCACGATCCCTCAACTAACAATTTTCCCTTGAAAAGAAGAAGAAAAAAAGAGATACTCATCTCCCCTTCCAAAACCCTGTTATCAAAATTCTATCTCTCTGTAA